AATTAGGGTTTTCCTCCAATTCGAGATTTTAGTGGCCAGTTTTTCACCGATTTAGTCAACTCTTTATTGTAGTCCATATATGATTATATATTTAATCCACGATAATTCTATGATTTTTTTTGTGTGACGTAAATTTAATGGTCAACATAAGTTCATACAAGGAAAGAACATCTCAATATTCATAAATTGATGAAAATAATGAAAGTTAATAATGTAGTACCTTCATTTCTTATTGGATTCTTAAAAAATAACATTTATAATGATAATTTTTTTGATTTTTTTTAAAGTTTAATCCGAAAGATTCGGCCCGATTCTCGATCCGAATCGTCGATTTGTCGATCCGGATCGATTTTGGGATGTCCGATCCGGTTCACCGATCTATTTTTTAAACCACTGTTCTAAACCATTGAAGGTGCTTGTTGTGTCTATGCTAATTGTCGAGAAGAATATCATAGCTGCAAAAATAATAGAAGGGGTGTAGCATTGTCCTTTGATTCCCAATGAGGATGTTTTTCGACTTGAGATTTTTAAATATATTATAAAAATTGCTAGACGTGTATTTTGAAAAAAAAAAAAGAAACTTTAAAATTGTTGTTCCTAAACACTCGATCTAATCATCAAAAGATTGAACGGTTTTTAATCAATTTCAAGATATTAAATTTTACAGTGTGCGTGCAATTCTGGTAGTGGAAACCTATGGTAGCTTGAATATCTAATTATGAAATTTAAAGGCACAAAAATGGCCCACATTAACCTAATCTATAAATACTCAGTTTTGAAAATATACGGTTCAGTTAATGTACTACAAGATACATTATTTCAATGACTTGAAATCCCTTTCTATGTCATGTGCATGCATCTAGAAATTGAGATGATTAATTAAAAGGTTCTCTAGTGTTTGGTACTTTGTAAATCAATTTTTGATGGATTTTTAACGTGCGCCTTACTTTTACAATGCAAATTGGTGCATTTTATGTATTGGTGCCTCGCATAAGGCAACCCTAAACAATCAAGATTGGTGCGTTGGGTGTGGTTTGTCTAAGGCAACCTTAAACAATCAAAGTGAAGCCTACCACTAACCTGTGTTGGAAGATGTAATTTTTGTGTCAAAATCCCTTGCGATTGTCTAAATATCTAATTTCACACATGAATTTTAAAGCTTTAAAAATTGATATGGATTGAGCATATCTATAAATATTTGAAAATCTTGAAAATTGATGATCTAGATAATGTGTTACAAGACCCACTATTTTCAAAACTTAAAAACCTTTTCTTTTTAAATCCAAGATTATCAATAAATGGTTTTCTAACAATAAAGCAACTTTTCTTAATAGATTTTTGAGTTGCGCCTTACTTCAATAGTATAAAATCGACACCTTATATATATATATATATATATATATATATATGGGGAGTGGATTCTGTACGCCCACTAGCTGACCGCTAGAGTAAACGCCAATAGTTCAGATTGAATATGGATCGATCTGACGGTCACGACATATTTTCGTGTTTGAATTTTAATTATTTTTCTATAAATCTAAATCACTTGAAATTTTAGATGTATATTCTTCTCATCAAGGAGCATAATAAATAAAAATTCTACAAAACAAAATGACCAAAATACTCCCGAAACTTTACAAGGGTATTTTGGTCGATTTTTTTCATGTAAAATATGTTTTTATATATTTTTCGAATATTTACCTATTTTTTTATATACACACACTCCAAATTTCAGATCAATCCGATTTGTAGAAAAAAAATTAAAATTCAAATACTACCGAACATTCAGGATCGTCAGATCGGCCATTGATGTTTACTGAGCAGTACGTCCTTGGGCTGACATGATCTTTTTCATACATATATATATATATATATATATATCAAGTTTACGTAAGGTTGCAACCTTGAAATATAAAATTAAGGTGCATCTCAAAATTCCATCGGAAAATCCCATTTTAATGTTCAAACCCCTCTAATTGATCTTCTTGACATCGAGATGTATGAATATTTACAAAAAAAAAACAATTTTGAGTCCCAAAAATAGTGTCTCGCAACACATTATCTAGACCGTCCATTTTCAAGTTTTCATATGTTTATAGATCTATTTGATGTGAACCATTTTTGGAGTTTAAAATTTTTTAATTAAATATAAAATAGATTTTCAAGTCATCCTAAGAATTTTTTGACATCAAAATTACTTGTTATGATAAAATTTGGAGGTGCACTTTAATTTGATTGTTTAAGATTGCAACCTTATGCAAACCACACCTATATATTTATGCAGTAATTTCATGTATGTTGGTCACTAAGGTTGGCAATGGGTCAGGTAGGGTCGGGTCGGGTCGACCTGTACGTGGACACAACCAAACTCAACTTGGGTCCACGATTTGGGACCCAAACCCAATTCGATGCAAGCTTTTGGACCGGATCCAAACTCGACTCACTAGGTTCATACATGGAGCCAGACCTGAACCAGATCGGGTCAACCCGCTAGGTCAATGGGTCGACCGAATTGGCACCCCTATTAATGGTCACAAGGTTAAAAAGAACAGAGATCCTAAAATATCATCCTCAACGCGGTTTTACCCACAAGGTCCTGAAAACACTCGGGGATAGGGTTTTCCAGAGAATAAGGTCCTAAAAATACGGGAGAGAATAAGGTCCTAAAATAACCATGGCATGTGTTTTACACCAAGTGAACAATGCTTTGAAGGCAGCATATAATCTTATAGCAAAATTAGTATACCCCCTACAAATTGGGGTAAAAGCTTGCCTTCTATATTCCAAATCTAAATAAAAAATAAAAAATCCAGACTTCACTTTCACTGAGTAATAAGATCCCATGAGAAAAGCACAATACTTTAAAATTTTAACTTGGGGTTAATGAATCTTTTCCAATTAACCAATCTCATGTCATGCAACCCAATGAAAGAAAAAAAAAAAGAGAACCATAAAAAACTATATAATAAACAACATAAGGACAGATGTGTACTCCACACTCAATGAGAGTAGATATAATTAGAAACTTTCCACAAAGTAAGTTGGATCCATTAACAGCAACAAGAACAAGAACAATGTTTCTTGAATTCATTTATCAATATAAATGTGAGCAACCATAAAAAAAGAAAACAATTATAACATAACAATTCAAACCAGAAGGAGAGAGTTTTAAAGCAACTGTATAAGAAAAACAAACATCCACCAGTAAAAATTTGAACACGCCTTCCATATACCCACATGTAATCTCCCTCTGCACATTAACATCAATGGAGAGGAAAACAACCAGCCATGAGAGAGAGGCGTACAGCACCAAAGGAAGCTCTTCTTGTAGGAAATGGCCGCAGGAAATCCCTAGCAGGTCTCACTCTTTCTCTCTCTTGTTTCTCACTCTAGAATGAGAGACGATCAGCATATTCCAGGCAAGTTGTTCCAGGCGTAAGAACCCAAAGCCCATATTTGGTCGTTGGATGACAGAGAAGAAGTGAGGTGCCGCATCTCCAAGCCCATATCTTCTTCAAACACGACTGTATTGGGTGAGTCTGTAACTCCCGACTGAGCATTCGACATCTCGGTGCTATCACTGTACCAGTCGGCGATAGGCGGTGCGCCCGAAGGGGTGCTGAAATCGAGAAGGGTCGAGAGCTCCTCCTCCTCTTCCATACGGTTCCCATCCTTCTCCCCCATTTCCTCTTTCTTCAGCTTCACATTCATTCCTGCAAAAAACAATAAGAAACCCACATCAAATTCATGAAACCAATTCACAAATTCATGAAAACGACTCCCATAGGGTTCATGAGATCGAAACACATACAAGAGTCGGAATTCAATATGGTTCGATTGAAATCTACTGCAATCAAAATCTGATCTTTGTTAAAATGGGGAATCTAAGATCAGTAAATATTTCATAAGAATCAAGTAACCAAGTGACAAACCCAACAGACCCAAAATCAACCCAACAAACAATCAGATTAAAACAGGCACAAAACCACAAGAATTTTAACCAAAACATGGAAGAAGAAGCTTTTACCCATTGAAGACTGGGCAGAGCTCGAATCATCCAATGCACAAGGAGTAGCAGGGGAGGGGGCAGCAAGAATCGTGTCCTCAGCAGCGGTCCACTCCACCTTGCAATTTGAATTTGCAGGCATGACCTGAGGCTGCGGTGGAGGAGGAAGATTCTTCCAAAAATTGGACTGTGAATGAACAGGGGTCCCTGATTCCTCACAACCACTCATAGGCTGAGTCCCCAGCAAAAGTGCATCCAATAACCCGCTATTGCTTTGGCCCAATGGCTCAGCGGTGGGCCCCACCACTTCCATAGGCGATGGCCCACCACCACCACTTGGTGGTGCGCCCGAGCCGGTGTTCGAGGACACAGACTCGGCATATTGGCTTGAAGGGAGCTCCATCTTAATGGAGAAAGAAGAAGAACCACCGTTGTTGAAGGGTATTGATGGCTCCGAAAGACCACAAAACTCCATCCCCATATCTGAACCCCGAAGCTGGGGCATCAGCCTTCTAGCCATGCCAAAGTTACCCATTTGCCTGAAACTAAGGGGACCTGGTGCCGGTGCCGGTGCTGCGGCCAGAGCCACGTGAGACAGGGTGGAGGCACGGGCAGAGAAGGACATGGCGCGGTCGGAGAAGCGCTTGAGGTGAGGCATCTGAGACGGGAGTGGGTAACAATCGCAATTGAGAATTTGAGGACTATTGCTCGATTCAAAGAAAGGCCGAGGCTTTGGATGATCAAAACAGAGGGGAGGGGGTGGCGGTTGCCGCTGCTGTTGGGGGTTGAGAGGCTTGAGGCAATCGAAGGCGAGAGGGGGCTGAAGCTCAGCGGGCTTGGCGGAAACAGGGGCAAAACCATCACAATTGAGGGGCCGAGTGTGGTGGCTCAGCACCTGGCGTTGCATCTCGGCCGGGTAGAGGGGCAGCCCCGCTCTCTGCCGCCGCTTTATACGAGTGTTCCAGTAGTTCTTGATCTCATTGTCCGTCCTTCCCGGCAACTGAAGTGCAGAAGAGAGACAGAGCACAAAAAAAAAAAAAATTAGGGTTGGGTTTGGATTGTTCTTAACAATTAGGGTTTCGGAGTTTGGTGGCAATTACCTGAGCAGCCATGCGTGCCCACTTGTTGCCGAGCTTGGCATGGAGGTGGAGGATGAGGCGCTCCTCCTCGGGGGAGAAAGACCCCTTTTTGAGGTTGGGGCGGAGGTGGTTGGCCCACCGCAGGCGGCAGCTCTTCCCGCACCGCGAAAGCCCCGAGTTCTTCTGAACAGCATTCCAGTTGCCCTCTCCGTGCTTCTTCACATACTCAACAAGGATGGCGTCCTCCGCCGAAGTCCACGGGCCCTTCTTCAGGGACGCCGCCATCGCGGTTGACATGCCCCCACTCCCGCCCCCAGACGACGACTCCTGGGCGTTGGCGGTGGCAGCAGCGGCCATTCTCTCCTCCTCCTCGTTCCCGCCCGGGAATGAAATGGAAATGGAGAGAAAGAGACGAGAGAGAGAGAGAGAGAGAGAGAGAGGGACGTCTTCTCTCTCTACTAACGACGAAGGGAAGAAGT